CTTTCACAACCTGCTGATGAGACTTGGGAGGAATCTATGCTGCCCTCTCTCCTCAGTTTTGGAATTATCATTGGGATTATTCCTCCTTGGAATTGTTTTGCCAAGCAGAGTGTGCTGCTGGGTCTGTGGGTTTGTGCAGCAAAGGGGTGTGTGGGAGCAGAGCTGTGGGGGAGTCTGAGTGCTGATGCACTGAGATCTCTGCCCACAGGGAAGCACAGTCCCTCACTCCTGGAAGTGATTTTGAGCTAGAGGAGGAATTCTTTGAGGAATGGTGTGGGCAGTGAGGTGCCACCATTCACACAGGACACATTCCCTGCTGGCCTGTGCCTGAGACTTCAGCAGTGCCACGACTTCACCCCTGTCTGTGACTACAGAACTCCTTCACTGTCTGCCCTTCCAGCCCTGCCTTTCCTGGGGTTCTGACTCCAGGTATGGCTCACCAGGAGGTCGCTGTGGGGGATGGAGAGCAGGAGTTTGATGAAGGTCTGCAGGGCATTGTCCAGGGCATCATCCCCATACAGTCGGAACACGCCGAAGTTGACGTAGCTCCCGCTCAGCGCAGCCTTCAGCATGGAGAAGCAGATGGAGATGCCCTTCAGCTTCAAAGCATAAACTTGATCCTTTGGGACCTCCCCAAGGGTTAGGATACGATTTCCTGCACGAGCACAGAGCATAGTCAGTGTTGCAGCAGCCACAGCCAAAGCCTTTCTCCCTCAGAGGAAAGCCAAGCAGAGCTGTGAGGGTGAAGGACACCACGAGCAGCAACACTCATCACTCAGGGGAGGGTCAAGGAGTTAAGAGTGTGACTCTGCTGGGCTTTTCACAACAGCCTGGAGGGACAGGACACAGGGAATGGCTTCCCACTGCCAGAGAGCAGGGATAGATGGGATATTGGGAAGGAATTTCTTCCTGTGAGGTGCTGAGGCACTGCCACAGGTTGTCCAGAGAAGCTGTGGCTGCTCCATGCCCCATGTGTTCCAGACCAGGTTGGATGGGGCTTGGAGCAACCTGAGCTGGTGGAAGGTGTCCCTGCCCATGGCAGGAGGTGGAACTGGCTGAGTTTAAGGTGCTTCCAACCCAAACCATTCCATGACTTTACTAGGAACCACAGGAGAACACAGCTGAGTGTGATTGTGCTGTGGTAACAGGACATGTTCTCCATCACTCAACCCACATCACTGCACACTCACATGGGGGCTCAGCCAGGCTCCTGCTTAGGGCTGCCATTCCTTGTATCCCCCTTCTTCTCTGCCCACTCTCTCCTTCCAGAACCACCAGCTCCCTGGATCCCAGTGTTTTGGCACTGCTCCCCAGCCTGGCCAGCCTTGCCCCCTGAGCCCATGGGGAGCCCAGGGCAGCTCCAGGCTCAGGTGCCACCTGTGGACACTCACCATAGGTTGTTATCATCTTGCTGGTCTCTCTGAAAAGGAGGATCCCGTTGGGGGAGGACACGTCAAACTGCAGCCGTTGGGACCTGATGGACACACAGGGAATAATGAGACACCAAGGAATCACAGGGCTGGAGCAGCTCTGCCCTGGAGCCAAAGTGGGAGAGCTGGGGGTGTTCAGCATGGAGAACAGAAGCTCCAGGGAGACTTTAGAGCCCCTTCCAGTGTCTAAAGGGCTCCAAGAGAGCTGGAGAGGGACTTGGGAGAAGGGCCTGGATGGGCAGGACACTGGGAATGAATTCCCACTGCCAGAGGGCAGGAACAGATGGGATATTGGGAAGGAATTCCTCCCTGTGAGGGTGGTGAGGCACTGGTACAGGTTGCCCAGAGAAGCTGGGGCTGCTCCATCCCTGGGAGTGTTCCAGGCCAGGTTGGATGTGGCTTGGAGCAGCTTAGGCTGGTGGAAGGTGTCCCTGCCCAAGGCAGGGGTGGAACTGGATGAGTTCAAGGCCCTTTCAACTCAAACCCTTCTGGGATTCTAAATTGGAGCTCAAACACACCTGGGAGCAAAACCAGAGCTCCCACTCCAGGAGCTGCTGCTGCCAGGGATAATCCCTGAGTTCAACAAAATGCTCTGCTCTGGTAGCAAATCCTGGTGTTCATTACCAAAGCCACACAGGATCAGGCAGAGGGGACAGAGCAGCTCTGCTGTGGCAGAAGAAAGGGCCTGTAGTGCTCACACATCAGGAATACTACAGGATTACAAATCCTGTCCTGGCAATAGTTACTAGGCTACTGCACACAAACACAGCCAAGATCTTGGAGCAGCCCTGCAGGCCAGGCTGACTGGCTCCTATTCATGACAGCAACCAAGAATTCCAAGCTTGGCATTTTTTCCCCTCCAGTGAATCAATCCCACAATTGAACTGCAGTGAGTTGCACAGTTCACCTCTGGGATAGAGGAGGGGCTGGTTTCCAGTAAGGATTGTGTCCCATGCAAAGCTTCAGGCTGCCAGGATAGATCCTCACCAGCTCTCCCAGGCCTGTGTCTCACCCTTGTGTCCCTCCCACCAGGCTGGAACAGCTTTCCCTTCCTCCAGGGCTGTGCTCAGCTGGCTGGAGGCCAGAGCATCATCCTGGCAACCCTCCAGTGCCAGCTTAGCTCCTGAATTATCCCCCAGCGTCACAGGTCCCTCTCTGCTGCACAAAGAGCTGATGCTCTGAAGCAAAGTGGCTGCCAGAGAGAACAACACTCGTTTGAAACAGCTTTCAGAAATGCCCATGAGTTTCCTGCCTCCATCTCCTAGTGCTGCCCTTGGAAGCTGAAAAAACCCAGTGGTTATTGATTGTGGCTCAGGCTGATGGAGCCATGACACAGCTGATAGCTGAGCTGTTGGGTTTT